GAAGCGGGTGCTGCTATGGGCTGTAGCTGCAGGTCAGGCAGAAAGGGGAATCACAGACTGTACCCTGGGCAAGGGCAAACTAGAAAACCAGGCACAGTTTTAGATGTCAAGTTAACCTCAAACAGGCTGAAAGGCAATAACTATATCTGAAGGGAATAGAAAGGATGGAAAAAATGAATTTTGGAAATGGAGTTCAACAATGTTCTTTGAAGGAATAGTAGGCAGATAATAAGAAGGGAGTTTTATAAGGGCTCAGAATCAGGTTGGCATTAGCAAACTGATTTTAAGCCAGAATTCTGGCTTATTCTGCAATGGAAAAAAATCACTTTGCCTGAGAACTGGGACCAGCTTAATTGTATGGACGTTTCCTGGAGAATAGGATCACCCAAGAGATTCGATTACACATGAGAAAGTTGTCCAGTAAAAGTAGAATGAGAGTGCAAACAACGAATCATGGAACACTACATCAAAAACTAATGATGTAATGTATGGTCATTAACATAACATAATAAAAAAAAGTGAAAAAAAAAAAGAGAGTGAAGGGTTTTTATCATTCAGGCAATTCTTGGTCAATTGCTTATTCCTGTGCTGGCAACACTGCTTTAGAGCAGTGCTTTCCAACCTTTTTTACACATAGTGTTCATCAGATCTTGCTTCACTCAGTCTTTCTGGCTGTCCCAAGGGCCAAGGGAATCAATATCTGTATACTCCACAGTGTTCTCTTTATGAGAACTGAAGAGTGTAATTTCTCTCAGGCTTCAGAACCAGAAATTGGTGTACATCTGCTGAGAAACTCATCTGTTTTCATTGGATGGAGACTGAATTGGTATCTGATTACATTCCCCTCTTTACCGTGACTGCTGGGAAGCTTTGGGTCAAACCTGTGGCTTATGTTTGACAAAGTTCATGAGACTTTATGGCATGTACTGCAGCTTTACCTTTGTTGTATTTCTCTTCTTTTTCTTTCTCTTTTAATTTTCATATTTACTTATTTTTATATTTTGTACTATATGTGTATTTGTAAGCTGCCGTACAGTCGTTTGGGGATCCACCTGTGCATTTGTCCATGTGTTGTTAGCCAGCTAAGCCAGATAGACAGATGCATACAAACATACTTGCCAAAGTACATTTATTTCTTCAGTAACACTGCAACATCACATTTCAACTCAGTTGCTCCTGGGAAGATTTTCTGTACAAATCATTTTTGTGGATACTGAAAATACCAAATAAGGAAAATAGTGGTTCCTATTTTGGATGTCTGTCCTCTTCCTGACCTTTTGTCTCATTAATCTATTGCCCTTGGCTGATTTTATCTTTGGGTCTGTAGCCCTGTAGCTCTTTTATACCTCTCCCTCCTTTAGGGTCTTCAAATTGAGCTATGGAAATGATTTGATTTAGCTGTTGGTAATATAACACTTGAGAGTTTGGAAAATAAGTGAGGGTTCATTGCCTAGGATTTTGGTAGAATTGCACATTCTTTTTGTGTCACTGTAGAACAGTGTAGAAACTGTAGAAATATGATATTATAGAAAATTCCTGATCTTTTTATTCCAGAAACTTGTCTTTGTCACTAATAGGTATATGATTTTTGGCAAATTTCTTAATCTCCCTCTTTCATTTTCTTTCTTTTTTTTTAGATTTAGAAATGACTGTATCTGTGTTATTCAGTCTCACAGATTGTTGTGAGAATAAATATGATAGTGATCCATATGACAATACTTTTTAAGCTTTATAAAATGATATTTTTTCATTCTTTTTGATTTTGGGGAAACAGAATATATTATTAGGGTTTGAAGCTGTTGCCTCAAGTATTTTCTGGGTAGCAGTATGGCAAGTTTGATATTTGCAAAGCTTTGAGGACAAATCACTTTTATCTTCTATATATTGCCATGTTTAACAACCTATGCTTTGATGTTTCTTCCTCATGTTAATCTTATCAGTTGGCTTATTTACAATTTTAAAGTCTATCCAAATGATTTTAGTATATTTACTTCTTGTAAAATTTATTATGGTATGAGCAGTGATGATGGATGGCATTGCTTTTCTGGAGACTTAAAGACAAGTGATTTCTTTTTTTTTTTTTTTTTAAAGATTTTATTTATTTATTTGAGAGAGAGAATGAGAGAGAGCACATGAGATGGGGGAGGGTCAGAGGGAGAAGCAGACTCCCTGCCGAGCAGGGAGCCCGATGTGGGACTCGATCCAGGGACTCCAGGATCATGACCTGAGCCGAAGGCAGTCGCTTAACCAACTGAGCCACCCAGGCACCCAAGACAAGTGATTTCTTACAAAATCAAGTTTTAGTAACTGTCATGCAGAAGAGGGCATTCCTTTCCGTAAAAGAAGAGACCGATTTCCTGTAGCTAAACCTCAGGAAATTTTATCTAATTAAGTGAAATGTATCAGAAAAATATATATTTAGAAAGGAGGAAGATTTAGAATGTATTTTATTAATCCATTCATCTTAATGCATGGGGGAACTGGGCCATGAGAGACTTAATGAGACTTCTCCATAGGTACTCATGTCTTTCTAGAAAAGGAAAATAATAACAAATACTTGCATAGCATTAACTATAAGCCAGGCACCATTCTAAATGATTTACTTACGTTAACTCTTCTAATGCTCCTGAAACCCCTTAAGGTATTATGACAGCCAGCTTTCAAAATGATGCCCGGTGATCTCCACATCCTGGTTCTCATGCTCCTGTATAGTTCCCTTATGTATTGAAGAGGGTTGACTTACGTAACCAATAGGATAGTGAATAAATGATGATGTGTGACTTGGTCATAAAAGATATTGTGGCTTCCACTTTGTTTTCTTGTATTTCTTATTCTGGGGGTAGCTAGCCACTATATCTTGAGAATGCTTAAGAGGCTTATAGAGAAACCCACATGGGAAGGAATTGAAACCTTCAGCCAACAATGTTAGAGCCATCTTTGAAATGGATCCTCTTCCCTCAGTTGAGCCTTCAGAAGACTGCAGCCTTGGCTGCCATCTTGACTGAGGCCTCAAGAGAGACCCCAGATCAAAATACACAAGCTAAGTCGCTACTGAATTCTTGACCATGGATACCATGAGATAATGGATGCTTATTGTTAAGCCTTAAGTTTTGGGGAGTTGGTTATGCAACAGTAATAAAAAGTACAGATTTTGGTACCTGAAAAGTGGTGAAAGCTAAAATATCTTGAACAGACTATTAGTGGAAGCCTCATGGTCTCTCAGAAGACTGCTGGCAAGGAATTGAAGGAGAGTGAGGTGAGGCCAATGCTATTGGAAAGTGTTCCATAGCAGTAATTAAGTAATATAGGTAGTTACTCAGTCCTGGTACCAGTATGGGTAAGTTCAAAGTTATAGGATCAGCTGCAGGTATGCAACTTTTTATTTCTGGAGTAGTTTAATCTACCACAGTAGTTTTTAATTAGTCATTTAATTAGTTATTTTAATTAGCTGTTTAATTAGTTAAATTAACTAGTTATTTTTTTGAGCTTAAATTAGTTTTCACCATATTTTTGGGAGATACACTCTTGTTTGACGGTGTCAGGTTCCTAAGGATTGGTCATAACTGAACTAGGCTTAAATGTCTCCTCAAGTGGATAAAGCAAACAGTGAAGACTTACAGCTTATGATGGAGCTGAGTAACAAGACTGCCTAACCTATCTTTTAGAGGTTTAGAACTGTGTGCAAGATAATTGGCAAACACTTCAAGTGTTTACATAGTTATAGAAAACGAACATGGAATAACGAGAGGTTTAGGTATAGTGTCGTGAAACCTAACTTCTAGGGTTGATTCCCAACTGTGTTACATCCTAGCTGTGTGACCCTGTGCCTGTGAGTCCTGATCTACAAAATGGAGATGATAATAGCTTGTAGGTAGGATGAAGATGAAATGAGTTGATTCATCATGTAAAGCCCTTAAGGACAGTGCCTGGCTTTTATTAAATACTTTGTAAGTAATATCAGTTCATACTACAAATAGCATAAGTTGTTATATAAGCTTTTAGTTAGCTCTTGGAAGAGGATTTCTCATAACCAGCAGCAAGATGAAAGCTAGGCTAATCTCATCTTTGATTTTCATAACCATTACTGTATGTTAAAGTATTTAATTTCATACATTTTGAACTTGGCATAGTCATGTGTGTACATTAGGAAAAAAATGTAAACCTACCAGCCAACAAAATAATGTTATTGGTGTGTGTTGTGATTTCTTTCAAAATTAAATGCTATCTTGAAGTTTTCATTTGTAATTGAAGTAACTTGTAATTTTTGAAAGTCTTACAGCAGTGCTGTTAGAATTTTTTATTAGAGTCATTTCCATTGGTATTTTAATGCTTATTTCTTGGTAATTTATGAACTACTGAATTATGATTACTGTATAGTTTACATTTGCTTAAAAATTAGGCTTCCTTTCCCGAGAACAAAATTTAATTTTAAAATTGAAGTATATAATAAAACAGTAGAGATTAACTTTTATTATGAAAACATTGAAATATGTTTTTTGCTTATATTTAAATACTGGTGTGCTTTTGAAAAATTCATTGTACTTTAAATAAAGAAGTCAGAGTGCACTGTGCATGACTCAGGAGCTCTGGGATATTAACTTAGTTTGAGATAGATTTAAAAAACTTACTGCCATAGTTTTCCTGTCCATCATTTTTCTTATCTCTTTCTAATTTATGTTATCTTATTATACCATGTACATTTTTGTAAGCCTTAGAATCGAATTGGAAATCATTAGATAGTAAATAGACATATGGGAAGGTAGTTTTTCATGGGTTTGGGTTATGTAGAACAATAATATAAAATAATAATGAAAAATATTTTGTTTTAAAGTATCTATATTTGTAGGTTGTATGGGGAAGAGAAATTTTAAAAACAGTTTAAATTACATTTACCAACTTGGTAAGATAAATGGATCTGATACTGAATTTTAACATCAAATCAATTTTAAATAAATCATTTTTTCCATATATCTTGAGATTGACACTTGACAAGATTTCAGAGGTCACCATAACTGAAGCATCTGAAGATGATTATGAATATGAAGAGGTAATTTTTTCATTTTAGGTATTTAGTCTGTAAATGCACTAGTCATTCTTATGAAACATTCCTTTTATTTTATTTTTTGTTTTCCTTAAGAGATGCTAGTTTTTCAACTGAATTACCTAATATCAGCTATTTAAGAGTGAAATGTGAAAGTTCTATTTGAAAGTTTGGATTGGTTAAGGCATCCGGCTCTTTTGGTTTTCCTGTTAGTTGTGCTTCAAAGTTAGCTCCTTCTCCCTTGCTTTGTAGAGCCTTACTATAGACTGTCATCTCTGTCCAGCAGGCATTCCCTAATATCCATTTTGCTCTTGGATGGGTTTCCTAGAGTCCCACTACTGGCTGCAACTCAGATCCCATGCTTCCTTTCAGCTTAACTATAATTCTATGTAGTGTAGTTCCTGTCTTAAATCTTCCCTTTAATTCACTGTTCAGATGGGACCTATCATTACTTCCGAGACTTGGTGCATAGAGTCGCTCCTAGATGACAGACATAGTAAGTACAACTGTGGAAGCAAGCCAGGAAGTTTGTGGCCTGGGCAAGTAAAAGACAGAACAAACAGTAGATAAACTTTTTATTAGTAGTAGTAAAATAGAGATAATATGAATATGTGTCACATGAAATTACTGGAAGGGTTCAGATAAAAGGCATAGTACTGATCAGCACATAAGAAGCACATGCTAAGTGTTAACTATTATTAATGTCATAATTAGTCAATTGCATTCTTCCAAGAGCCTAACATCTAGGCAGTGAGTTTTATTTTATTTTTTTTTAATAAACTAGAGATTGGCAGTTGCTAGTATTTATGAAAAAGAAGTGGCCTTACATTTTTTCTCAGCAGAGTTGTTAGACTACCTTTGTCTTTATACGTAAAAGCTAATACCCATAAGCTAATCTCGAGTTTATCAGAGGTGACATTGAGTGATGTTTACAAGGAAGTCAGAAAGCCTCTTGCTTGTTAGTGATTCATTTGTCACAGAACTTCAGAATGACATGGTGTCTTACATAAGGTGTAATTTTTGGTCCATTGTTTTGTGAGAAAAATTATTTCTGAAATGAAGTAAGGTGTTTTTATATTCCTGCTTGCTCTTCCTGTCCTTTTTCTCTTTGATTTAGATATCAGATGACAATTTTAGCATTCCAGAAGGTGAAGAAGATCTAGCAAAAGCAATTCAGATGGTCCAGGAACAGGCTACAGATATTCAGATTTTGGTGAGAATTGAACACAACCTGTTGTTTGTGTAGTTTGAACACAATCTATAGTTTAGCAGTGAGACTTCAGTTTTACATACTAAATCCTGTCCTATCACTTGTTATGCCTTTTTCTCTTCTGTGTCTTTATCATTACACCTTCACTTTATTTATTTTTAAAAATTTTTTTGTTTTATTATGTTAATCACCATACATCATTAGTTTTTGATGTAGTGTTCCATGATTCATTGTTGGCGTATAACACCCAGTGCTCCATTCAATACGTGCCCTCTTTAATACCCATCACCAGGCTAACCCATCCTCCCACCCCCTCCCCTCTAGAACCCTCAGTTTGTTACCCCAAAGATACAAATGTAGTGATCCTAAGGGGTACGTATACCTTCACTTTAAGTAAGTAGTCATATTTATTCTTTTTTGGATTGTCATTTTCTACATCATGGTTACTCTTACATAACTTCACAACAAATGACACCTTCCTTCAGAACTCTGCCTATTTAATCTCACTGGATATTAAACCAAGGATTTTTAACACTAATGTACAGAATTTGTTATTGGATACAGATATTAAAATGTGTTTTGTAACACATTAAATAAAAAGAAAAAAAAAGTACAGTCTCTCTGTCCTCCTTTTCCTCCTGTGTTCCCAATTCCTTCAACTATCATCCATCTCATTCTAAATATCATATTCAAATTTATTGACCAAAAATGCCAAGGTAGCATTTATTATTGTGTAATGAATATTTACTTTCAGCCATATTATACCCTTATCAAGCAATTATACATAATCTTCCACCATAATTCAGACTTGAAGGCGGGGATGCTGTATTCTGCTACCCTGGCATCTTCCATGTTTGATATAGGGTCCTGCACATAATCAACATTGTTATATAATCTTTTAAGATGACCTTAGGAGGGACGCCTGGGTGGCTCAGTCAGTTAAGCGTCTGCCTTCAGCTCAGGTCACGATCCCAGGGTCCTGGGATCGAGTCCCACATTGGGCTCCTTGCTCAGTGGGGAGCCTGCTTCTCCCTTTGCCTGCCTCTCTCTCTCTCTCCGCCCCACTCTCTGACAAATAAATAAATAAAAATCTTTAAAATTAAATGACCTTAGGGAAGCTATTCCAAATTATCCTGCTTGAGGGTTAAAATTTATTTTAAAACCCTAGTCATTTGTCAGGAAATTTCGGTAGCCTCCCAAATTTGCTTCATCTGATCATTGTTTTGAATGTTGTAGCAGCTACTAGTAATTAAGATCAGCATTAAATTATGTATAGCACTTTTGAAAAGAACTTTTTAGGGCAAAAGAGATTCTTTCCTTACTGCATTTCTATGTAACTATTACCAGGTATGTAACATTTACCTGGTCTGTAACCATTACCATGTTAAGAAGGGGAAGGAGGAAAGAAAGTCTGCTGTTGAGTTTCCATATATGAAAATAGATCTGTCTGTCTAAACGATCAGCAGTTAGATTGGTAAGTTCTTGCCAATGAGAAGAAAATGGATGCACTCTGGAAACAATGATGCTTTGATATTTTTAAGTGTCTACCCATTATTTGACTTATTTTATACATTGACTTATGGTAGTTTTATGGCTGTCCTAATTTCATATCTCACTTGCTGAAATATCTCCACTTTCCTAGTTCAGGGGTTTGCAAACTTGTTCTCTGGGGTCATATAGTAAATATTTTAGATTTTGAAGACCATAAGATGTCTGTTTCAACTCACTTCTCTCATGTAGTATGAAAGCAGCCATAGACAATATGTAAGCAAATGGGCATGGCTGTGTTGTAATAAACTTTATTTACACAGTTAGCTGACCCCTGATATAGCTGATAGACTTACTTCCATTATGAAATGGTAGATAAGCCACTCCATAGCATAGAAGAAAGCACATAATTCTTCTGTATCATAGTGTTTCTAAAGCTCAAGGCACCAAAATTCATTATATTTCTTTTTATAATGATAATAATTGAAAGAATTTAAAGGTCCATACTTTTTTTCTTTTTTTTAAATGTGTTCTATGCTATTGAAAGGACAAGCTGACCTTATTGTTCTTTAGATAATCTAGTCACACTCTTGCATCAGGGTCTTTGAATTTGCTGATGCTATAACTGAAACATGATTCTTTCTGTAGATTTATGCTCAGATTCCACTTTATCAGTGAAATCTTCCTTCATTACCCTATATATATAGCAGCCCAGCTCCACACACATATCTGCCCTACATTTGGCTCTCTCTCCCTTCAATCCTCTGCTTTTTTTCTCCCAGGCACTTAGTACCATCTGCCATATTGTATATTTTTAATTTAGTTATTCATTTTCTTTCTCCATCTACTTGACTATTAGATATGAAGACCGAGTCTTATCTAGTGTATAAATTCATTACTGCTTTATCCCTAGTGATTAAAATAGTCCCTGGAACATAACACTCAATGAAAATAGATGAAAAAATGAACAAGTGAATGAATAAATGAACAGCTTATTTGTACCAGTAATCAAAGCTTAGTGATGATTTTATATTTTCAAAATAAATAATTGCACATTTAAATTTCAGGAACAGAAAACAGTCCTTCCTTCAAAGCAACCAACACTTGAAGTGATAGAAGACTTTCTCTGCAATTTCCTAATCAAGATGGGAATGACCAGAACTCTCGATTGCTTTCAGTCTGAATGGTAAACAATTATTTGGATAAATAGTTACCTAGGGATGCTAACATGTACACTTTTAACTGTCTTAAAGGACTTGAAGTTGCTCAGCTTATACAAAATGGATGAAATGGATGGAAGCCTTTCCCATCCCTATCACTGGAACTACCACACACACACACAGTCTCTCTCTCTCTCTCTCTCACATAATTAAGATATCAATGTAAAAAGTTTTTATTAAAAATTCTTCCTAAATATTCAAATTTGAGTGATTTTCAAAAATCAAGAAAATGGAATATCTCCCAGGATTATATAATACAAAGCTCTTTTATGAAATGTTTTTCTAATATATTCTGCATAATTATTAAAGGTAATATTTCCTGCATTAAGACATCCTACCAAGATTACTACTTCATTTGTTTTACTTCTAGTGTAATGGCCTGCCTTTCCCTACTCATACAACTGATTGATTCTTTTTCTATAAATATTTCTTCATTTAGAAATAAGCAGAATTGGGGTGCCTGGGTGGCTCAGTGGTTAAGCGTCTGCCTTCGGCTCAGGTCATGGTCCCAGGGTTCTGGGATCGAGCCCTGCATCGGGCTCCCTGCTCGGCGGGAAGCCTGCTTCTCCCTCTCCCACTCCCCCTGCTTATGTTCCCTCTCTCGCTGTCTCTCTCTCTCTGTCAAATAAATAAATAAAATCTTAAAAAAAAAAAGAAATAAGCAGAATTATATTTTCAAATGATGCCTAAACACAGATTTTCTTGTTATAATTGAAAATTTTAATAACTTAATTGGTTATGAAAATCAGCAGGCATGCTGTCTTTATTCCTTTACAATGGTAGTAATGTCACCATGCATGTTTTCAGAGGCCCAACATTCTTTAATGAAATATTATTAAGTAATTGGATATAAAAATATGTTTGAGCCATTTTAAAAGCCATTCCATATCATGGGAAGGGAATACTATGATACAGAAAGATGTTTGTAGTGTTTTGGGACTAAATCCTAATTTTAAATATAAGGAGCAATTTGTAATTTCTACTAATCCGACTGTGATGTAATTTTTATTTGCTGCTTTTTTTGGTTCTTATCTACCGAGACCATGTACATAGAAGAAATCAGTTTTATTACTTTAAATTGCATATCTAAAGTTAATAAATTTAATGAAGAGAACCATTTTTCATTAATACAGTTTAGGAAAAAGAACAAGTTTGATGGTAGTAAAATAATAGTGTTCCTATTAAATTTGGAAATTGCGTAAATGATTTTTATAAAAATGTCCCTAAGAAATAATTACAAATGTATTAGAAAATACATTTTTGTAAAAGTAGGTAGATGATTAATTTACATTACTAATGAAATGAAAAATTAATGTGGCTCAGTTCCTTTTTTCTTCTAAGTAGGTGTGTTAGGACTAGTACTCACATGTTTGTCCAGCCCAAAGTGTGAAATGATCATCCCATTGAGAAATCTGGAACCAAGTATACTCTTAACAATTAAGTGCTTGTTGTATCATGTTATCCTTTTAGATTTAGCAGTTTGAATTGAGGTGAAATTTCAGGAAACTACAATGGTATTAGGACTTATGGAACCCCTATATAAGCATGCCACTTAGTATATTACAATAATTTTAAAGTAAAACTCATCTATCTCTTTATTACATGGGTTTAGTAATACTGTGGTTCAAATAATTGTATCCTTATCCCTAGCTGCCAGCTTGTTATAAACTTACAAACTGTTTTTAATAAGATTACACAGTATTGAATATTTTTATTTCACATGAAACATTTTTTACTTTGATCCAAAAGCTTTGCTTATTCTGCATAGTAGGACAGTAGGAATATCAAGTATATTTTTTATCATTTTTTATTATGGAGAAAAACATTTATAGTATTCATTGCTACGAATTCATTTAATCTTACAAAAGTTGACAAATAAGTTTTCCCCATTGTTAATTTGTAAAACAAAAACCTCAAAGTAACCAAAAAACCTGGGCAGTAAAATTGGACTTGTTGTCTTTCAATCTTCAAACAGTAATTGCAGTAAATTCTTTAAATCTAAGGTCAGCAAACAAGTCTGGTCTGCCTCTGTTTTATAAATAAAATTTTGTTGGCACATAGCCATAATCTTTCTTTTAGGTATTGTCTGTGCTGCTTTTCATGCTGTAACAGCAAAGTTAGTCAGTCACAGTGGAGACCATATAGCCCAGAAAGCTTTTTTTTTCAAATTCTAAACTATTTTCTGTCCATTTTCAAAAAGAAAAAGATTTTGTGTGTGTTTGTGAATGTAGTAGGAATTTTTTCTATGAACCATAAAAAAGTCTGCACTGTGGGTTAACAGTAGCTAATGGAATTTTGTCTTTGTTGGTGAAGATTTTCCCTAACTGTCCCTGAAAACATGGAGGAAAAATTCTCATTTGATATTTGTTATTATCTAGGAGATTGTTTTTCTGTCTTTTATATCCTATGCCTTGGGTGCCATCAGGAAGGAAAAATAACCCTTACTCTTATGATGCTATTGATGTGTTTACTGAAATTCTCTCATGCTATTTGTCATTTGTGACAGTGGGCCCTAAACTCTTTTGGTATATAAACAAATATTATGAAAGCCTTTGTACTTTCTCCCTGAAATATGTGTATTTTCTGTTCCTATATAATTCTAAGTAGTTTATGGACCTTATGGTAAATATGAATACCATTAATGTAATTTTATTGGCAATAATTTTATTGGCAGGTCTGTTGGTAGTAAATTTTATTTCCTGTTCCTAATAGTTATGTAACAATCTTTTTCCCATTTGAACACTTTTCAGTCTTATTCTAAGTGTGAGTGAATAAAGAGGAAGAAATAAAAAGGCCAGGATATTTCTTTAACACACACACACATGAAACAAAACCAAAAAATCATGTGTAGAAAATGCTGTTTTTACTGAGAAATGTATTAATGTATTTCTGGAGTTTGTAGATTGATTCCTAATTATCTAATAGTATTAGAATAGTTTTAGTGAGTTTGAAGTCATCTTTGATATTTTTACATAGATTACAGAAATTTTTCTTGATAAATTATTTTTGAATATCCTCAGATATATGTGATATAGTATGTGATATGTTGTATTATGCTTGATTTGTATTTATTTTACCACATATTAGTTTATTTACATAGCATTTAATTTAGAGAGGGACTACATATCACTTTTTTTCTTATCAAAATAATTTCTTTAGTGATTTTTTTCTTAAATAAAGCAAGTTGCTGAAAACCAATTTTATGGTCAGAAGAACTTTATGGTCTAATACTTTAATCAATCCTTACATCTTCTCTTCTGAGATAAATATGAATCACATTCTAAATATGAATATAATAGTGAATTTATGATTAAATGTTTATTTGTTTTATAAATTGTGGCAAATATTACTTAATATTGATTCTATTTTCTTAGCTTTTTGGATATTTCACAGAGCTTGTCTTGCTGTGTTTTTTTTAATATCAGATAAGATATATAACACACAACCATATGAATATTAATGTGTAATATATTAATAAAATTAAGATTTATAGTATGAAAATGCTGATAATTAAACATTTTTAAAGAAATGTTTAGCTCATCTATAGCAAACTCTGTAGGGATTTCTTTGTTAATAACTTCTTTACTGAAATGTTTTTCTGTGTTTGTATTATTTTTTATGTAGTTTTATTGCTATATATAATATATACATATCATTAAAATTATAATTATTTACAAATCTGTAAATGATTTTCTGATGTTCCTTCTTAATTCACCGAGAAAATGGAAGTTCTGTGACTCCTGCCTCCCTCTCTACTAACCTGCCACCTCTGTTCTCCGGCCTCCTCCTCCTCACGTGTCACAGAGCCTGAGCCGTGCATGCTGTCATCTAAGGCCAACCCTCCAGTTGTCTACTGGAGCCCAGCTCCTCTTACCTACTCAAGGATATTGCTTTGGCAATTGTCCCCTCTCTCTCTTTTTCTGCACTCTAAGCTTTTTCTCTCTCTGCTGGATCATTCCCATAAGCATACAGATGTACAATATTTCATATATTTTAAAAAAGGCAGAAGACAAAAAAAGCACCCTGAATGCCACATCCTCTTTTAAGTTCATTTTAGATTTCCTAGGCTCCACTTTACATGTCGCCTTGAAAGAGTATGTTGCCACTTCTTTATGTCCTACTCTTATACCTACTCTGATGGCACTGTCATCTCCATGACTCTACTAAAAGTTTTTTCAGTGCTGCACATTGCCAAATTCAGCGACTGATCCTTAGTACTCTTCCTGTTCATCCTGTATGCAGCATTTATCACTGTTGTTCATTTCTTCCTTTTTGGAACACTTTATTTACTTGGTTCTTGAGCCACAGTGCTCGCATATTCACTGACAACTTCACTATACCCTCTCATTCTTAGTCTCTATTTGGTAGTATTTCCTTATCTTCCCAGTCTTGAAACAGTCTAGGAACTTCACTTCTCTCTTTACTTCACTTCCTAGATGGCCTTGTCCAGTCTTCCCCAATTTGAATTCCAAGTCCTGACCCCCTGAACTCTGGACATGTATACCCAGTATTCATCTTCACTTGATTACCTGGTAGATATATTGCACTGAACAAATCTCTTAATTTCTCCAACCACCCAGTTCCTACTGCATTCATTCCCATCTTTGTAAATGGCTGGCTGTTCTACCAGAAACCTTGGAGTCATCTTTGACTTCTTTTATTAACCAACTCTTGGCAGATGATTCGTACGAAAATCTTCATTGGCTCCACCTTTACAGCAATTCCAAAGGGTACCTATTTCTCATAATCTCTGCTGCTACCAACTTTGTTCATGCCACCATTCTCTCTCTTTTGGACTGCTGCAACAGCCTCCAAACTAGTCTCTTTGATTCTACTCTTGCTCCTCTAGAGTCAGTTTCTTCAAGTAGATGCCAGACTGATCTTTTTTTGAAGTTTCGTTTCTTTTTTTTTTTTTTTAAAGGTTTTGTTTATTTATTTGACAGAGAGAGCACAAGCAGGCAGAGCGTCAGGCAGAGGGAGAGGGAGAAGCAGGCTCCCCACTGAGCAGGGAGCCCATGTGGGACTCGATCCTGGGACCCTGGGATTATGACCTGAGTCGAAGGCAGACGCTTAACCGACTGAGCCACCCAGGCGCCACCCCCTCTATTTTTTAATTTTAGGTAATTAACATACAGTGTAATGTTGGTTTCTGGAGTAGAATTTAGTGATTCATCACTTACATACAACACCCAATGCTCATCATAAGTGCCCTCCTTAATACCTGTCACCCATCTACCTATCCCTCCCACCTTCCTCCAACAGACTAATCCTTTTAAAGCAAATCTGACCAGTATCACTTGTTTCTCAAAGCCTTCCAATGGCTTCAGTCTGATTCAGGTAAAACCACATTCCTCTCTCCTGCTTCCTGCTGTCTTCCTGACCCATTTCGTACCACTCTCTCCCTTCCTCCAGCTCCAGATACTCCAGATATACAGGCTTTTTGCTTTTAATTGTACATGTCATGCACTTCCTTTTTTCAGGGTCTTTACATTTACTTTTCTGTCAACCAAGAATGCTCCTCTTCTTCATATCCCCATGACTTGGTTTCTTATTTCTTTCATTTCTCTGCTCAGATAGCACTTTGCCAGTCATACTTTCTGTGTTCAGCCTATATAAAATAGCACAAATGCCCCCATCACTCTCCACTTCGGTCTCCCCCTCTGATCCTGCTTTATTTTATTTCATAGAACATAAGCACTCTCCACACTAGAATGGATGGGGACTTGGACTGTTTTGTTAATTTTACTAGTGTCTAGATTAGTGCCTGGAACATACGAGATGTTCGGTTATAGTTTATGTACCATGATGATATTAGTACCTAGCAATTATTTTTTTTAAATTTTAAATATATATTATGAATTTTGACATTTTAATTTACAAAAGTAATACCACAACTCATTTCTATAAATATCCCCTAGGACTTAACTTTTTGAATTGTACATAAATTAAACCAATTTAGTAGAAAGAAACAACATTAAGCCTTTTGTTTGATTTTATCCTAGGTATGAGTTAATACAGAAGGGAGTAACTGAACTTAGAGATATTGGGAATGTTCCAGATGTCTACACGCAGAATATGCTTTTAGAAAATGAGAACAAAAATTTGAAGAAAGACTTGAAACACTACAAACAGGCAGCTGAGTATGTTACTTTTTAAATGACTTTTTTTTTTTCTTTTGGACTAAATAGAAGAGTTGAATGAAGCTAACTGTGGTTAATGTACTGGAGCTTTAATTCTGAATTGAATTATATTTAAATTCTAGTTGGAAAGAATGTGAAAGGCTTCAGTAGCAAATTAATTGAACAGATGATCAGAACTCTCACAATTGCAACCCACCAGGAAAAGTGGAATGCGGGGAGTTGTATAGGAGATGGTTAATTTGTTATGTAACACTCACTTTCTTATGGTTTTGATAATCTTTTCATCGTTTGTGGAAATCTTCCCCTATGAGGATAAGCTAATTTCTGAAATAATAATAAACTTATAGAAGACAGAGAGGAAGGAAGGAGCTAGTGTATTCCTAGTTAGAGGAATTTTGGTGTTTGAAAATTCCCCATAGGAAACTTATTTCATCATCTCCTAGCATGAATTCATGCATAGAAGAGAAACTTAACAGAAGCCTAATCTTTCTTTCTGAAATTAATGGAAGACGTAGTTTTTGGCGAACAAATTTAGATAAACCCTGTTATTCTTGCATAGACAAATATGTGAATGTGTTGACTAGGAATGAGTCTACTCATCTAAGACAATGTTAGATGGAAAATCAATGCTTAGATATGGAGTAGAGAAAGTTCATGCTCTGTTCATTATTTTTTATTAAACATACTTAAAGAGCGGTTTTCTCTGTTAAAGAATCATATCAAAACAAAAAATTAGATAAGCAGAACTACCATACAAGAACATAATATTTTTGAGGTCTTTGTAAAAACGTTTAATGTAAAAAAACAAGACTTTGTATTGCAAAGTGAAGGAAAATTTAAAAACTCCTACTTTTAAAAGGTGGTGGTAAAAGATAATTTGTATGATCATTTATTCACTTATTACTCATAGAAATGTTTTTGCAAGTTATATAAGTTTCATATTATCTATGGGTGTACTGTTTGACATTTTACATTTTAGAAAAAAGTGTATGATGATCCATGGAATGATAAGTTACTAGACCCAGCATTCTCTCTATTCTCAGTTCATTTCTCAGAAGTGGTTTGCACTATTGGCCCTGATGCTCACTGTGATATTGTATAGACACCTAATGGATGCACTGGGAATTTGACACAGCAAATTTTTCAGAGTGCTGCCTGGGATACTGTTTCAGTTGCTGATCTTCTTTGAATTATTGCTTGAGTTTGCTAATTTTCTTTTGAATAGATAGAGCCTCTTTTTGCAATGAGTTTTGCCATAGTGACATTAAATAATCATTGTTGATTACTGGTTGTTTATTGAATATTATATTTAATAACTATAATCAAAACCATATAAACTATTACCTATGCAAATTATTATCCCATAATTAAAACAGATATCACTCAAATGAAATATGATTCTTATTTGTGTTTACTAAACTATCAGATTACTAAATGTATATAAAATTTGCTATATTTATTAAAATATAGTTTTAGTTTCAAAGGTTATGATTATTATCTCCTAAATATATCTTATTTGATGTAATTAAACTTTAACAGACTGGAAAAGGAAAATATTTGCTTTAATCTCCTTGACATGGAAAATTTGAAGGAAAGATGCTTGACCCTTAGTAGGTGCCTACTATTTATATCATTAAATGAATATTAAGCACATTGGGCTCTTATGACACCTTTTGGTGAAGCATGTCTCTAGAGCCTAAGTCTGTTGGTTACATTTTCGAAAATGAAGAATGAAGTTTTGTAAAATATTACCAAAACTACCTTTGTCATGCTATAAGTTTGCCCTACATTGTAATGTTTTATCACACAGGTTTTTCAATTTGACTTTGGAAGATATTTTTCCAGTAGGGATTAGTAATAAACATGGGATTCCTTTTATAGAATTTACCATAAGGTTTTCCTTTCCAGGATTAAGACTGTTTCTTAAAGCAAGATAAGTGTAGATGTTAAATACTTTTCTAACAATAACCAATATTTGGTATGTAAAAAGAGTAAGGTTTACAGATATGTTATATGTTGTCCTGATTATACTGGTAGCATTTAATGATGTATCTAGAAAAATCAGAAAAATCATATAGCTATAAGCTTAATATTTATCTAGAGAAGAGAATTGCCATGGAAAGAGTATTGAACTTAAGGTTCAAATACCTAGCTTCCAATATTCTGCTACTTATCAACTCAGTTTTCTTATTGTTAAACTGGGAGTAATTATACATACTATTATTAACTCCTAGGGAGTGATGTGATAATTAAATAAGACAATCCATATTAAAGAGCTGTGTAAATCACAAAGTGCTTTGAAAATGTCAGCTATTATTATCAATATCTCTAAAGGCTGTCATCCTTGGATTTTTTTTAATCATCACATCATTAATATTTTTGAAATTCAGCAGTGATGAAGCATAAAGGAAGACATGAAAAGGGAAATATTTCACTCTAAATTTCATTTGAATTGTTATAATTAAAAAAAAATCGTCCTTTTCTCTTTTGTAAGCAATGCCTATTTTAGAACAGAGGTTTTCCTTATTTTGCTACAAGTGTTGATTATCTTATCTAAAATATAGTTTCATGTATGATATATGTATGCATGTATGGTGATGGATGTTAACTATACTTATTGTGTTCATTTTACACTGTATATGAATGTTGAATCATTATGTACCTGAAACTGGTACAATATTATAAGTAAATTATACCTTGATAAAAAAAAAGTTTTAGAAATAAATGTTTGGAAAATTTCCTTATACATAGATGTCTTTAAGGGAAAAAATGTACTATTAAGAAGTGTTTATAGTCACTTTGAATGTAAAAGTATATACTAGATATTGGAGAGGAATAATATAGGTAGTAGTTTGATAATCTTTTTTTCTCTGAATAAAGTATGTTAATTAAAAATGTTTATATACTATTAAATATACAGATTTTAAATGTATAGTTCAATCTGTTTTGATTAACTGTAATATATACCCATGTAGTCACTAAGCCAAATCACAATATATAGAACATTTCCATTACCCCAGAAAGTTTTCCTGTACCCGTTCCCTTAGGCAATTATTGTTCTGATTTCTATCACCATATATTGGTTTAACTCCGTCTTAAAGTTCTTTTGAAAGGAATCATACAATATGTACTCTTTTCTATCTGCCTTCTTTCACTTAAGATTTTTGAGATTCATCCATAGTTTTGGTGTATCCATAGTTCATTTCTTTATTATTGAATAGTATTGCATTATGTGAATATATCACAATTTGTCTATTCATATTTCTTTTGATGGAAATTCGGGTTGTGTCAAGTTTCTGCTTAATATATGATTCAATTATGACATTCGTGTGTAAGACTTTTTATAGACACATAATTTCATTTCCCTTGGGTCATGGGGTAGTTCCATAAAAACTGCCAAACTGTTTTCCAGAATGGTTTCCAAGTTTGATACACAGTTACAGAACATAACTGTACTTTTATAATAAAATGCAGACCATTTGTCATTTTATTTATCTATTTTTTATTGTACATACATTTGGAATACTCAATTTTACTTATTTTTTAATCTTTTTAATACTCAATTTTAAAATTAAGGTCATAGTAGATAAACATGTGAAAATCCATTTTTGGAAACTTTTGACCAATTATGCAATCAATTAAGTTCCCATAAAAATTTATTTCTGAATTACACATTTGTTTGTAATTTGTTATTGTGATCACTTCAGACACGTTAAAGAATAGGCAAAACATCCAAATGCACTTACAAAGTTACTACTATATACTTAAATGTATTTTGAAACTCAACATCCTGAATTTAATTCACTTTCTCATTTTCTTGACCTCTGCTTCAATAATTCTTATATTTAGAATTACTCCTGTTTTTGATATTCCCCAATGGTTTCCTAATGTTATTTTTTTATTAAGTTTTAATTTTAATTCCAGTATAGTTAACATACAGTGTTATATTAGTTTTGGGTGTATAATATTGTGATTCAACAGTTCTATAAACCATTACTCAGTGTTTGTCATGATAAGTGTGCCCTTAATCTTCTTCACCTATTTTACTCATCCATCCTCCCCTCCCTTCTGATATGCTTTATTTTAAATGAGTTTCCTCAGTTAAAGTAATTATTATTTTTTTTGAACAAGAACATTTTTTACTTGAAGCATACTTCAGAATACATGGTTCTAAGAATATGTGTGTGTGTGTATATATATATAAAACATTCTTCCAAGAAAAATAGAATGCACATTTTCTTCAAGTACACATGTAAAAAGAGACATAACGAATAATACAAATTTAAGCAGACTGAAATAATGCCACGTATACTTTCCAACCACAGTGGTACAAAGCTAAAGATCAACAATAGAACAAAATCTACAATGTAAATAATAAATATTTAATATGTAAATATTAAACACACTACTGCACAAGCAATGGACCAAATAAGAAAACAAATGGCACATCAAAATATGTCTCAAAACGAAAGAAAAAGAAAACACAATATTCCAAAACCTGTGGGATTCAACAAAAGCAGATGTTAGAGTGAAATTTATGCTATAAATGCCTGTATTAAGAGAAAAAGTTCAAATTAACAACATTACACCACAAAGAACTAGAAAAAGATGATACTTGGCTGAAATTTAGTAGAGGAAGGAAATAACAAGGAAAAAATCAGAAATAAATAAAATAGAGTCCAGAATAAACAATAACATAACATTGAAAGTAATGACTAGTTTTTCCAAAAAAATAAACAAAATTGGCAATGCTTTAACATTAACTAAGAAAAAAAAAAAGAGAAGACTCAAAAACCAAAATGAGAAATGGAAGAGAAAACAATACAACAGATAACCACAGAAATACATTGTGTGGTAACAGATTGCTATGAACAATTATATGCTAACAAATCAGATAACTTAGGAAAAAACCCAGATAATTTCTAAAAATGCAAGAACTATCATGACTGAATCATGAATCTTGGATCCAAGAAATAGGAAATCTTAGACCAATAACAAGAATGAAAATTAAATTAGGAATCAAAAATCTCCCAGCACAGGGGCACCTGGGTGGCTCAGTCAGTTAGGCGGCTGCCTTCGGCTCAGGTCATGATCCCAGGGTCCTGGGATCGAGCCCTACATCGGGCTCCCTGCTTGGCGGAGAGCCTGCTTCTCCCTCTCCGTCTGTCTGCCGCTCTTCCTACTTGTGCTCTCTCTCTATCTCTGTTAAATAAATAAATAAAAATCTTTAATAAAAAAAAAAAATCTCCCAGCACAGAAAAGTCCAAGACCCCATGGTTTCATTGGTGAATTCTACCAAACATTAAAAAAAAAATGACAATCTTTATCAAAACCTTAATAATAATGCAATAGAGGCCAGTACTATCCTGATACTATCCTGATACCAAAGCAAGATAAAAACAAAAAAGTCTAGTTTGTCCAATATAAATATTGCTACTCCAGCTTTCTTTTGACATCCATTTGCATGATAAATGTTTCTCCACCCCCTCACTTTCAATCTGCAGGGGTCTTTAGGTATAAGAACATAGGGAAAAGTATTTATTTTCTCAAAAATGAGCTTTAATTCATGGCTCTAGATTGCTACCTGACTACTTTTTTAAATAATTTTTTATTTGAGTATAGTTGACACACACTGTTGTATTATTTTCATGTGTGCAACATAGTGATTCAACTTCTCTTATGCTGTGCTCACCACAAATGTGGCTATCATCTGTCACCATGCATCACTATTACAGTATCATTGACTGTATTCCCTATGTTGTGCCTTTTATTCCTATGACTTATTCATTCCATAACTGGAAGTCTGTATCTCCCACTTTCACCCATTTTGTCAATCCACCCCACTGCCCTTACCTCTGGCAACCATCAATTTGTTCTCTGTATTTATAGGTCTAATTCTGATTCTTGTTTCTTTATTACTTTGTTTTGTGTTTTAGATTCCACAGATGAGTGACATCCTATGGTGTTTGTCTTTCTCTGAGCAATTTCACTTGGCAGAATGCCTTTTAGGTCCATCCATGCTGTTCCAGCTCATCCTCTCTTATGGCTGTGTAATATTCCTGTGTGTGTGTGTGTGTGTGTGTGTGTGTGTGTGTGTGTCATCTTCCTTATCCATTCATCTGTTGATGGACACTTAGGTTGCTTCCATATCTTGGCTATTGTAAATAATGCTGCAGTAAACTAGGGGTGTGTTTATCTTTTTGAATTAGTGTTTTCATTTTCTTTGGGTAAATACTCAATAGTGGAATTAGTGGATAATGTGGTATTTCAATTTTTTATTTTTTTGAGATTCCTCCGTACTGTTTTCCACAGTGGCTGTACCAATTTACATTTCTCCCAATAGTGTATGAGGGTTGCTTTTTTCCTACATCCTTGCCAACACTTGTTATTTCTTTTGTTTTTCATACTAGCATTCTGACAGGTGTAAGATGATATCTCATTGTGATTTTGATTTGTATTTACCTGATGAATAGTGATGTAGAGCATCTTTTCACATGTCCATTCATATGTCTTCTTGGGAAAAAGTCTATTCAGGTTCTCTGCTCATTTTTAAATTGGTGTTGAGTTGTATAAGTTCTTCATATATTTTGGATATTAACCCCCTATTGGATATATCATTTGCAAATATCTTCTCCAATTCTGTAGATTGCCTTTTTGTTTTGTTGATGATTTCCTTCACTGTGCAAAAGCTTTTTATTTTGATGTAGTTGTTTTTTTTTTTTAAGATTTTATTTATTTGAGAGAGAGAGAGTGAGCATGAGCAGGGGGAGAGGGGCAGAGAGAGAGGGAGAAGGAGAGGCAGACTCCCTGCTGAGCAGGGAGCCCAATGCAGGGCTCCATCTCAGGACCGTGAGATCATGACCTGAGTCGAAGGCAGATGCTTAACCGGCTGAACCACCCAGGCACCCCTCAATAGTTTATTTTGATATAGTCCCAATTGTCATTTTAAATGGAGAGTTCTAGAATTTAAGCAACCTGCTACACATTTACAGAATTGTTGGTTGAATGAAGACTAGAAGGCATCACTTGGGGTTATCATATCTTTTACAGTTAAGACATTATTTCATAAACCTTGTTTTATTGGGTAGTTGACATGCCACAATATTCACCTCAGTCTGAGGTCCACAAAGGCTACTATGAGTTTCATTAATTAAGAACTTGTTTGCTTGGGCGCCTGGGTGGCTCAGATGGTTAAGCGTCTGCCTTTGGCTCAGGTCATGGTCCCAGAGTCCTGGGATCGAGTCCTGCATCGGGCTTCCTGCTCCTTGGGAGCCTGCTTCTCCCTCTGCCTCTCTCTCTCTCTCTCTCTATGTCTCTCATGAAAAAAAAAAAAAATCTTAAAAAAAAAAAAAGAACTTGTTTGCTTGATCTTGTTTTGTATCTTGACCTAGTGCTTTATGTCTTCCCGTAATGTAGACATTGAAAATATTCTCATTTGGATGGTTTACTCCTAAAAGCCTCATTGTACTTGTACGCTAACATCCTGCAGTCTGGCGTCCACCCCACCTATTCCACTCAATTGTGCATCTATTCCACTCAATTATGCATCTTATTTCATTCCTTTTTTCCTTCAGCTTCTGTGACAGCATGCTGTTCTACCTCTTCTTCTAACTCATTGACAGCTTTTTTTTTTTCTTACCTCTGCACTGTTAACACTCTAGAGAGTTAGAAGGCTGTGCTGTCCAATAAGATAGCCACTAGCTACAAGTGGATGTTGACAGATATAACGTGTGATGGCAAACTCTAGGAAGAAAAGTAACATGGTAAAGGAGACAGAGATAAATGGGGTGCAGTTTTATATAGGGTGGTGAGGGAAGTCCTGTCTGATTATCTGAAGAAACTGAGGGAGGCCATGTATAAACTTGGGAAAAGGGAATTCCAGGCAGAGGTAAAAGGAAGTAGCAGAGCCTGTGGTGGGCACAGCTTGGCTTGTTAGGGGGCTAGTAAGGAGACCATAGTGACTGGAACCAGGGGATAAATGGTAGAGCCCTTTGTTAGAACTTTGCTTTTTTTTCCCTCTGAGTGGGATGTGAGGCTAATGGATAATTTTGAAGAAAAGCCTAGTGTGAGCTTGTTTTTGTTGGAAAATAGACTGGATGGAGGGACATGATGGAAATATGGAATACATTATA